AGTATAAGGGACGAATGTCACCTGTACAAAGTAATGAGATGCGGACTACGGTTCCTAGCGGACTCCCTTTCCTGTTACACCGGTAACCTTCAATTCCTTCAGATGTTATTTAGTAGGCCACATTGGTACTGCGTCGATCATAATAGAATTTTAAAGATTAATATTCTCGCCTGTTTAATTGACTTCAGTCTCATGGTAAATTTTTGATTCTTCCAGAATTATAGCTCTGGGCTTGTCGTCTACCTTTGCCAGAGTTGGCAGCGCATTGGCTCCTCAAGTTATTTTGATAAAGGAGCCATTTGCTGCACTGCCTTTTATCATCCTTGGAGCTGAGTCAATCATCGCAGGACTGCTGTCACTTCTGTTACCTGAGACTATGCGCAGAGATCTCCCGCAGAACCTAGAGGAATTTGACAACTTGTTGGAGTCTCCTAGGTTGTAAATACTTATATTGATCCATTGTGTTTACCACTGATTTGAAAGCTTCAGCGAGGACAATGATATCAGTGACAATAGCAGTCCATTTGTTAACCCTATGATAGAATTTTAAAATAAAGATAAAAAACTAAAGCCCAGATCTGAAACGTTATCTAGTACCGTGCAGTTATTGGTTTATTTATACTTTCAGAGTCTACGAGGAAGCCAAGCCTGAAACGAAAAAAGAGAAGGGTGATAAGAAAGGTGACGAAATAAAGGAAGACAAATCCAAAGATAACAAAAAACTGGAAAAGATGCAAACACGACTGTAACTTCACGGGCAACGACTGTACCCCCTTGTGAATGGCTTGCAGGGTACTAGGGTCCTTGATGCTTAAGACAAACAACTGGGCTTTTACCCATGTAGATGTGACACATACAGTTGGACGTACATATCCAAGACGTATTTACAATTTATGTGTGGCTTGAAGATCTGCACCTAGAAAGGGGGGGGGACCTCAGATACAGATAAAGCGCTCATGTATAAAATCACTATCAATGTTCTTTATCAAGTGGAACGTCGACGGAATGCTACATTATCGACATATTGTCACATTACTGTTTGAATTATGCAACAGAGCTTACAACTTTACACTAATCGATACCAGTATGATGTCAGTGGTATTGTTACAAGTTAACAACGGTGCATATACTGTTATGTTCTTTATCAATAATGCATGTACATTTTCAATATTGCTGATATATAGTTATTTTATTAGTTTTATCTTAGAGAATATATATCTGTGTTAAGCACTCGATATGGTGTTATACTGCTTTGTTTTGATAAACTATGTAGTATGACATAGAAAACCATATATACAGTACATAACCAGATTTGTGCAGCTTTATAAGAAACACTGATTATTCCTTTTGAAAACGAATGATTCGGTATGTATCTGTAACTGGGTGTTTAAATGTTTTATTTCTGTAATGAGGGCTAAAGTTGCCAATCCGGTATATGTTCTACAATAGACACTTTCATATAGATATGAGAGAGTGAATTTATAAGCCGTTTATAAGGCGTCTAAGACTGTATGGTTTATAGTCCGTTTCCTTCTCTCCCTCTTTCTGTGTGTGTGTGTGTGTGTGTGTGTGTGTGTGTGTGTCTTTACTATATACATGCACAATATTAATAGCTTATGCAGTGTAAATAAATGGCTTGTTAAGAAGAATAAATTGGCTCGTGATATTTGGGGTATTTTGTCTAGTTGGGCATTTTAATAGCTGTTCATGAGGTATCCTTCCAAATTCAATAACGATTTCCTTATTTCGAATATATATCAGTGGGATTAAAACAAAACGTTCCTAATTTCAATGTTTAACAACGCCGACAGTTTTGAAGATATTGCAATGAAATTAAGAAGTAAAAATAATATGTCGACCGATGTGACTTGCGACAGGTGTCAGTGTCTGGCAGTTTTTACACTTTATTCTTAAAATAATCGAATATTTTCAATGTGCCAAAACTATTGAAGCATCATTTTCACCATCATATTTGCAACGAGTTCATTTCAGTGACAGCGATAATTTCCCACATGTGACAACGTATAAATGTAAATGTACACTAAGTCTTTAGGTCAAGTCGTGAGTAGAGAATGAAATGCAAAACGCAAAACGCGAAGGAGGGAGGCCATAAATAACTTGCAACACCAAGCATAGCAGTAAGCTATTTACAATAATAATGACGTGCCATTACATGGCGGGCACTTGTCCTTAAACAACCTTATCTAACATGCGCTGCAATATTAAGGCTGTTTGTTTTAAACAGATCTTGACAACAACTTTGGAGATAATTAATTTAATTGAGAGATCCGAATCTACCACCAGACAGGATGCATTTGGACGAGCTTCTACAAATTATTGGCAAGTTTGGCACTTTTCAGAAACGACAGTATTTTCTAGTTTGTCTCGTGGGACTGTACTGTGCTGTTCGTGTCTTCTCTCCGGTTTTTATTAGTCTAGTGGGATTTCCACAAAATATGAATAGTAGGGGCATTCTGGGATAAAAGTTGGGAACCAGGCTTATTATCATAATTTTGGAATGCTGAATCCGATTAACCCGGTTCCCAAGCGAAATGTTGCGTTTTTAATGGTCTAATTTGCATAACAACAAAATGGCCGCCAGATTTCCAATTTTCTGTAATATCTCTGGAACTAGACAGGCAATATGACAAATGAAGTGTCTTTACCTATGTTTTCAGGGTGGAGGAACATTATTCAGATGATTCTGTAAGAATTAGATTTACACAATTTTCCTAAATATGCAAATTAGGATCGCCATTACTGAAAACCCGTTTTACTTCTGTATCTCTGTAACAAGGCTTGTGTTTGACAGATACAGGGAAGAAAGAATAAAAGGTGCTACTCGGACACGATTCACAAAGTCAGCGCTACCCATCAGACAAGGCATCTGCTTTATCACATTCCCTGACCCTGAGAACATAGGTGTAGACACTTTATGTGTCATGTTTGCTTGCCTAGTTACAGAGATGCAAATTAGACCGTTAAAAACAAAATGCCAAAATGCCAAAATGCCCCTTGCTTCTTATGCAGAGCCTTTTTCAAAAATCTCGCTAAACTAACTGTTTACCTGAACCCCATGTTTTCCTATTTGGGTTAACAGGTATGTGAACAGATCTGTAACACTAACACCTAACACATAACATACCTGGAATTCTGACCTCACCCACTGTATCTGACAACCTTAGAAAAGTTCTGCATTCAGTTGTGCTTATTTGTACGTTGTTTGACAGTTACATGTAAATGATATCTGAGTACTCAGCCCCGGAGAATGAATTTAAAACTCGCCACACCTTGCTTGTTTTTATATAATGTTTGGTATGTTGTAGTGCATATGACCAGACACAGTGTGTTTAAATTTCGATGGACCGAACTGTTCATTATCATAATCACTTGACATTTCACCCTATCCAAGACCGTTACGTCTTGTTTTTAAAAGTAACTGATCCAAATCGTTGTTCAATCTGCTTTGATCAGAGGTATGTCACTATATAATGCAGATAGAGTGGTTTTTGTTGTGGTAATTGTCGATGTATAAAAAGCCATTAGTATATTGTATCAAATCTAGTAGTATAAGCAGCTTGTTAATAAAAAGCTTTATAAGTCTTCTTATGCAATGAATTTGTTATGACAATACGTTAAGTAATGTGTTTACATGAAATAATTACCATATTTGTTTTACAACTTTTTGTCACAGGGCACATTAGAGTGATATAATCATATAGTAAAAGAAATAGGTAGCATTACAAACGACCATTTTTTTTCCAGTTCGACCTAAAGTGTGAAAATGAATGGCAGATCAGTTTTAGCAAGCCCATGCTTTTCATTGGTAAATTGGTGGGAGATTTGCTTTCCGGGATGGTATGCGATAGGTGAGGAGATTAGGGGAGTGCTTGTACCTTAATTTTGTTATCATAATCATGATCTATCATGCGTTTTTAAGATAGATTTATATAATAATATACTCGATTTCTTCGTAATAATATTATTTTTTCTGCGGTAGCTAGCAGCATTGTCGCAAATACCGTTCACTGTACATAGACAACAAGGTATGCTAATATACATGGATGTCACTGTGGCTGCAAGAAGGTGTGTAACTGTAGCAAGAAGCCTCTAATTGTTTTACGGAAAGAAAATAATTGATGGACTTATCAAATTTCATCAGTTAGTTTTCACATCCATTTTTTCATCTCTGAAACATTTATGACATTAAAAGCTCGCTCTTTGCATTCCAGATTCGGCAGACGGCCCACTTTCTTGGTCTCCATGTTTTTGTCAGTCGTTGTAGGGGTTTTACTAGCACTGTCTCCTGTAATGGCTGTCTACACGACCGCTTTGTTTATACTAGGGTTCTAAATCCGTTTTACTATAAGAAAACGCAGTAGATACTCCAGCGCAGTAGACTACTGCAATCATACTGCAAACCGCAATAGACTACTGCAATCATACTGCAAACATATGCTTCAAATCTGCTTCGATTTGTGAGCTAATTAATTAGCATATTTGAAACATGCTTCTATCATGCTGCTAATCTACTGCATTAATGCTCCTCTCTGTACAAACCTATGTACTTTTTGGAGTAGAATTGCAGTAGGCTATGTTGCATTACTACTGCAAATATGCTCCACACCACTACTGCGTTAATGCTTTTTTGCTACTTCGATACTACTGCATTTTCGTGCGGGATATATCTCGGCGTTTTCACTTTAGGTGAGTCACACCGCCGTGTTTGACAGGATATTGTGCTTACTGTGTTCGCCGCACAATCATTGTGTTATGTGCGATTATAAAAGAGCTTTAACCTGTCTATTGTTTTTGTGCTTATTGGAATTAATGATAAACTTTTATTGGTTTTAGTGAAAAAAGAATATGATGCTCCAAACGGCGTGAAACCTATTATCAAGTTTTAAAGAACACGTGCACATAAATTTCAGTGTCTAATTGGGAATTAGAAAGCTTTTTAGTGGGTCGCCATATTTGATCCGCAGATCCGTTAGTCCACAGATTGATTTCTTACTAGACATTCACGGGTATGTCTTTGGTTAAATTCAAGGATAATTTCTGTACTGTGACCCTGTAATGAAATCTCAAGGATGGTTACATAGCTCAGCGAAATTGTCTACATAATAATAACAGCGTCCCTGATAGAGGGTACTTATAGCTCCTTCTGGGGGCATAGAGTCACGATCCTTGCCACTGCCCCTTAGCTTATCAGGTGCGTGTACCCATTTCTCCCTCCCCCCTCCCTTTAAATAAAGATGAACAGGCCATCACGCAAATCTAGAAAAAAAAATCAAATAATTCCCCTTACCGGTGTCCTACTGTATTCATTATAGTAAAACTGCCATCGCAAGGTTAGGCCTATACAAGTAAATTTCTTTGCCCCCCCCCCCCCCCAAAAAAAAAAACAAAAAAAAAAGACACTAAATAGATAGGGGAATTTTTTAAGTGGGTCGGTCATATTTCACCCTCTGAATAGTTAGTCCACTGTTCTGAATGGGGCCTAACAGATCTGCGGATCAAGTATGGCCGACCCATTTGAACTCTTGCTGCGTATTCCCCGCGGGGAATCTATTCAGATAATTAAGCGGGATTAAACGGGAATTAAGCGGCAAGCTTTTTAGTGGGTCGCTATATTTGATCCTCGGATCCGTTAGTCCGCTGTTCTGAATGCGCTCTTTAACAGCTTTGCGATGAGGTTATTTTTATCTCCTTAGATTAGGGACTGAAAACCATGAACTGGACAAAGATTCGTCGAATGAGCTACTGATCCTGAAGAAAGACCCAAGACATGAGAAATCGGACGTGAGCATGTAGCTTATAGTGCACACACACACCCTATATTCCAAGTGTTTGGAATGAACGTTCTTCTTTCGCAATTTGCTAATCAACTGAAGACGTAGATATTTTCAATAAAATGTTAACACCAACGTGTACGTGCGGTATTGTATTTTACGCGTCAAATGTGCAAGACATAATTAACTGAAATTTTTGTAAGAATTTAACACACAAAGCAAAGAATTGATTCATTTTGTTCTGAGAAACATGGATACTTGGCAAACAAATAAAATGATGTACTTTAACAATGTTGTATATTTGGCACATTTTGTTAGAAATGCGAGGTAAGACAAATGAATCGTAAATAATAAATGGAAGTGAGGGGGTACGTGTAATTGGTTTTTGAAACGAAAAACCAAGAACGAAGCACGGATTGAGAAATGCGTCATGACGGAGTCTTATCTGACCTGACTGAGCACCTTAGCTTCTCGTGGATCTACACGCTCTCCAAAATTTGTTTTATGAGTTCGCCTTTGTAGTTTGTAAGGTATATTTGTTTTAAGTACTTCTGAAAATTGTTGCTTCATTATTATTTTAAAAGAGGAGGGAGCTATTTGGAGACATATTTGTTCATTCTATTGCTTCTATGGCGCCTTATTTTATCTGAAAGTGGCAACATTACGTTATCGACAAAGCACGATTTTTTACGAATGTCACCACTCATCATCTACACTATGTTTAAAAATAGTGCGACCTCTGATATTTGACGTGTTTGTAGATAGGCAAGTGAAACAACACCGTGACTAAATACGAAATGCAAAGCTTTTTTATTATTATTTCTTACTCGTACTTCATTGTTTGCTATTTAAATGATGCGATATTGAATAGTAAACAAAGCCAGTTTATAACCCCGCTTTGCTTGTGCGACGAAATAAGGTCTCTTCGCTTTAAACTAAATCAAACGTGTAACCTTTGCCATAAGAATTAACTCGACAGACAAAAAGGTTCACATTGAACCCTTAAAAAAGATGCATTTAGACGAGTTTTTACAGATTATCGGCGAGTTTGGGACTTTCCAGAGACGCCAGTATTTCCTAATATGTCTGGCGGCTCTGTACACGGCTGTCCCTATCCTCTGTTCCGTATTCCTTGCAGCAACGCCCACATATAACTGTAAAATTCCCGCAGAGTACGTATCGAGCGCGGATAGGGCCTACAGAAACCTTTCTCACGAGGAGCTGCTAAACCTGACCATCCCATGGGAAGAAAAAGACGGAGAACTGGTCCGAAGTAGCTGTAAGCTGAAATCATGGGAGAGAGATAACCGAACGGGAAATGGCACATATTATGAGGTTCCTTCCACCTCAGATAATAACACAGCGAGTATTGAATGTCCTCTGGGACGGGAATACAGTCAAGAAATTCATACGTCAACTGTGGTATCAGAGGTAAGAATACAGCTTGTAAATTATTATACCACCTACATGCTCACTTTCTGTCGACTATTTTCCATTTTTATTTCATGATCTATTGATCCGACTGTGAAGGAAGAATTCCAGACGTAACATCGTAAAGTGCTTCTTCATACCAAAAAATATTAACCACTAATAATGTTCTATTTTGAATCTTAGAGAGAGGTTGCCTCACTCTCTAATAATTCCTTCAGTTTGATCTGGGCTGTGGCAACGAATGGCTGGTCAGCACTAGTCAGTCCGTATTCTTTGTCGGAAAACTTGTGGGAGATGCTTTATCAGGGATACTTAGTGATAGGTGAGTATCGCAAAGTATAATTCTGTGCAATGGCTGAAGATATTTGATAGGTCCATTGTGAAAAAATGAAGCATGAAGATGAATTTCTAAACTGAAATGTATGTTGAATGATTATGACATGTGCTAATAACAGCTAGATATGTTTTTGTATCATTCATGGAATTTTTCTGCACTTAGAGAAAAAGTGCACGTAATTCATCTGCGGTCCTGGTAGAGTATACATCAATATCACACCGGACAATGTTGGAACATGCATCCAGCAGGTGTCTCATATTTTGGATATTTCTTATCAATCTAATTGCCAATACGTGGCAGTTTGTATTTGAATATATGCAAGCAAACGTTGTCTTATTTTGTCGGGTTATTTTAGGATATCATTAGATCAAAATAATTCATTATAATTTCAGGTTCGGTCGGAAACCGACGTTTTTGGTTGCGGCAATGCTATCGGCATCTGTGGGGATCCTTACCGCCCTTTCTCCCAATGTGATAGTTTACATAGTGTCTCAAGGTCTCCAGGGATCACTCAGTGGCTGTATATTCCTAACTACATTCACCATTGGTAATTGGCTAACTTGAAAAACGATATAGAGGAATAATAGATATAATATAGATATAATAGACTGATTGTTTGTGCAAGATCCTTGGAAATTTCAGAGGTTCTGACAAAATATATCTCTTTGGGTGACCCAGCTTGAGAAATGACAAAAAAAATCAGCTCGAACTTTAATTCCATGCAGGCTTTGGTGGCCAAAAGAACGTTGGTTTTTTTAACACACGCATCCCACCTCTGAATAGTACATGTAGCTTTCCTACGGACCTTCTCCTGAAACACATTAAGTCAACTTAATTTTACGATGCTCATTATTTATCAGTCCCTTTATTCACAGGCTTTGATCTTTGCCAGAGTGTCACTACCGTGGAAATATGGCAAACAAGTTTGTTAATCTTGACAACTTTGTGAACTTCTACCCCACGCGTCTTGTTATAAGTATTTATTCTCCAGTCAACATGGAACAAAAATTATACCTTTCCTGTGTTCATCTTGCAAAGATAAAGTCCAAATATTTATTAAGCTACTTAAGAAGCCCCTTGAATGTTATTTGGTTTGTTCAGTAGCTATCATTCACTTAATAATCTTTTGTCTTCATTTTACAGGACTTGAATTTGTGGGCCCAAGCAAACGAAATTTGACTGGATTTGGCGTTATGTACTTCTTTAGTTTTGGTTACTTCTATCTCGTGCTGTTTGCCTACTTCATAAGAAACTGGAGACACCTCGCTCTAGTGCTGTACGTGCCTGCGTACCTGTTTGGGCTGTATTATTTGTAAGTAAAATCTTCAGAACTATTCACATGTGTCTAAAGTGCGTTGTGCTTGGCCAGGCTTTTTTCATAGAAGTAGCATTGTTTTAAAAGCCGTCATCATCTGAAGCTTCAGATGATCTGTAGGAGAGTTTTGGCGAATTTTTCACGTGATCGCTTAATTAGTTGCAAGACACACGCCTTAAAATATTTTGTCCGATAGTCGGTAGTTTAAAAGTAAACGTTTTAGACGGGAAAATTGATATATCTGAACGAAATTAGAAAATAAATGCTTTGCCTGTAACTTACTCAGCTTTGAGCACCTCAGGCCACGTTGTTGAAAAGGAACTCAACAGGCTCTCGGGTCTCTGGGATGATGAATATTGGTTAAGGTGGCTAGTCAATGTGATCAAGTATCTTGGCCCCAGTTTCACAAAAAAAGAAAAAAAACTTAAGTCTGTTCCCTGGCTTAGTTGGCTAATATTTCCATGAGAGTGCTGTTTCACTGCTCCTTATCCGAAAAAAATGTTCCCATGTGACCATGCAACCTTGGTAATTAGGTTCATAACAAGGGAACCTGACTGTGCGCGTGTGTGTGCGTGTGTGTGAAACCGGGGCCAAGTATCATGGTCAGTTGTGTGACTAAGTTTTAAAAGCCACATTTTAACATCAAACAAACCAGATCAATTGCGCTTGTTTTTTTTTTTTTTTTTTTTTTTTTTTTTTTTTTTTTTTTTTTTTAACAAATTTTTTTTTTTT